TTGTTAGAATCTTTTCGAGCTTCTATCTCAGGGTTGGCCATATTTTAGTGACCGTTTCACTTGGAGGGCCGTTATGACTGAAACTGTTGATTCAAGTATTGTTTAAGTTACTATCATGAGGGGTTCGGTTTCCAAGAAAATGCTTAGAATATATCTCTTATTTTTTACATGTGAGAATTAAACATTTTGGTCGACACTTTAGAAAGGATCGCGGAAGTTGACATGTTTGAGCTGCTTTCGCGGGCCACATAAAATGGTGTGGCGGGCCAGATCTGGCCCCCGGGCCTTGAGTTTGACACCCGTGTTCTATCTTCTTGACCCTTGACTTGCGGTGCGCTTCCCTGAGGAGGTTGCCCTCCTGGTGCGACCCCGGTGGTCAATCATGTGATAGAACTTGTCATTTTCATTGGCCGTAAAAGTCTGCTGCGGCTTGTTTGACATTTGGACTCTCGGCTCGGACTCATCGCGGACTGTCGGCAACCGATGAAATGGTAGTTGCGGATCCCTGGAAAGGAAAGACGACGAGTTCGGAAAAGTTTGCGAAAAAGGACTCGACGACAATGCTTTTTCTCACACAAGCGCGTCAAGACAAATGGGTCAGCCATAAGATATTAACCGAGGATGTGGTTAACTCGTTCTGTCAGCGAGCTTGTTTCAAAATCTTGAGTGTGGAGCCTCGCCACCCGTTGTAACCTTTCGCAGTAATAAAACATTAGAGGAAGCATAGCCAGGAGGCAGGCGAGGCTCCGCTCGTCTCTTCGACTTAGCGTCGAGTCCTCGCCGACACTAAGAGGGCCATCCATAATTAACCCCCTGCGCTGTCAAGTGAAGGCAGAGCTCAAAACATGTCCCCGCATGTCATTCTAACCCTTTTGCCCGCATCCTTCTCAGCTGTCAACTCGTCTATCCGCTCTTTTCTGTCGGGGGACGATAGCAAAAGACGGCGAGCGACGTTGATGTGTTGCGCTTGCTGCTCGGGACGGCCTCATGAAGTAAATATTAGTCCATGCAGAGAGCGGAGAATCACTTTTTTTTTTTTCTCTTTGACTCCTGCTCTCTGTTTGTTGTTTTCATCCTGCCCACTGCAGTGGCCGCTGTCCCAGAAAGGGTTAGCCATTTTCACACGCTTCTTTAAATTAGCATGTGCATTTTTTTTTTTAAATACATAAAGACATACCTGGGATTGAATGCCTGGATTCTTTAAAAAAAACAAAAAAAAAAACACGTCCTTGGCATTGGATGAGTTAATGACGTTTTTAGAGAGAAGCCCCAAATGGGAGTATGATAGCTTGATTCCATCCTCCATCTTTTCCAGTGCAGCAAACTGAATTAAACGGCCGAGGGAAGCTAAATTTCTTTTCGCTGATGAGCGATTTGCATCTTGCATTTCTTCTCCTGCAGCCCGGTGGTCCAGTGGTTAGCGCGTCGACCTCACAGTGCAGAGGTCGTCCGGCCTTCCTGTGTGGAGTTTGCATGTTCTCCCCGGGCCTGCGTGGGTGATCTCTGGGTACTCTGCTTCCCTCCCACGTTCCAAAAACATGCATGGCCGGCTGATTGAACACTCGAAATTGTCCCGAGGTGTGAGTGTGAGCGCGGATGGTTGTTCGTCTCTGTGTGCCCTGTGATTGGCTGGCAACCGGTTCAGGGTGCCCCCCGCCTACTGCCCAAACACAGCTGGGATAGGCTCCGGCACCCCCCGCGCGACCCTTGGGAGGATTAAGCGGTTCGGAAAATGAATGAATGAATTTTTTCTCCTGGAGAACCACACGTTGACCTTTTATATAGTCTTACTTTCAGAACGCGGGGGAAAAAAAAAAAAAAAACAAATCGGTCATATTTGGCGACCGCATAATCCTGCCAATAACCGCTCCTGTGCAATAGCAAATAGCCGGCGGCCTTCGGCGAACGCCGTGTGGAAAAACAGGTCACTCGAGTGCAGATGGGTTCAAGTTGAAAGCGCCGAGGAGAGTGGACACTGCAGGGGAGGGGGGCGGGGGGGGGGTACAACATTAACATTCACCATGCACAGATGTGCTTCACCCCTTGCGCATTGTGAAAAAGACAGACGAGGTTCATACGGAATGCCAAATAAGAGGAGACATTTTGCCCGCCGGGATGATCATACTGTATATGGATGACTATCTGCATGTGTTGCCGATTGTATCGCTAAATTCGGGGAGGGGAGTCGTTTGGGCTGTACATAACGCAGGCGTAGAAAATAGACTTATATAGGCTATATGTCCTGATTTCCATGTTCCCGAGCTGTGTCAGTGGGATTAGTCGAGCGCATTCGTCAATCCATAAGGGAGGGGCTTGCATACGTAAATTAAGTGGATTACTGTGCAGAATAGTCCAAGAGGGAATTAGAGGAGGGGGGGGGGGTGGATCTCTGAATGGATGCAAAAATTCTTCCCTCACTGTAGGCGAGCTGGTCCCACGACATCATCAGCACTTTCGGAAATTCATGATAGCAGCGTGAGCTCCTTTTGAATGCCGCTGATTTGATCAGCTGGGTAAATTTAATGACCCCCGCCGCAGCTCTCGAGTGAGGGCGACAATTCGGAGCGATTGGCACGTTCAGCAGAAAGTGTGCTGAAGCGTGTGTTTATTAGAACATTAAAAAAAACAAACAACAAAACAAGACACCAGGAAGACTCAAAACACGAAATTAGCAAACTCCAAAAGCAAGCGTCAACGGTGTCCGTTTTTTTTTTTGTTTTTTTAAATCGCAAGATACATTATCCTGCGCTCGGCTTCGGTGGCCTGCTATCAACCGAAATCCCTCGAATCGAAATCCACCTCAAGTGGATTGCAGTTGAATACTAATGAGGTAGCCAGCGGTCGCGCTCGGGCTTTCCGTTTTAATGAGGACAAAAACCTATCACTACATCTTACCGAAAAAAAAAAGAAAAAAAAACGCTTCATTTGCTGCCTGCTGCCAGTTGGCACGTCCCAGAAGGATTGTGGGGTTAAAATTGCAGCGTTTCGGTGCAGCTCATTCAGAGTCCTTTGGCAACAAATGACATCCTCCCTCCCACTCCTCCAAACGTTTTAAACCCGCCTCCGTTTGCCCGTTAGCCATCTCGGTTTCAGGAGCTGAAAGGTCACTTCAAAAATAAATAAAAAATGGGCGAGATCACGAGGCAATCCCGCCCAGACAGTCGAGCGGCACTTTTGTACGGCGAGGCTGCCCCATTTAGCATTCGGTAACCCGGAGCGATACCTGAGACTGGCAGTCTTGAGAATGGAAAGTCCAGACTGACTGCCATTCACTTGTCACCGGCTGCATTTGTCACGCTTGCTCTTTTTTGGGGATAAACTTGTCGCCCGTTTATCACCGTGCGATTGGCTTTTGTCAGCTTTCAAACCATTTAACACATTCGGTGCCAAAGCTTATTTTTTTTCATGTTTTTTTTAGGAATCCGGGCATTTAGAACTCATTCAGTACCAGCCAATTCTAGACCAAGTCTGAAAAGACGTTTAAAAACGTCTTTGGGAGTGAATGAGTCAATCCCAGGTATGTATTTATTTATTTTTTTTTGCACTAGGGTAAAGAAAGACATGAATTAAAAACCAATAATGAAGCCTTAAACTCAATCGGGAATCACACGGGGAGCCATCGCAAAGATTGTAATATTGCCGAATGCGATGTGGGCGGCCTGCGCCCCGACAAAAGTTGTTCAGCATTTTGATGATTGTGATGGTCGCTCGCAGTGGGCAGGATGGTGGACTAAAGTGGTTAGCGCACTGACTTGAAAGTTCAAACACTGAGGCTTTGAATCACACCGCATTTTGCATGTTTCTCTTTTTTTTTTTTCCTTGCCCAGTTGTGTAGAATGTTGACTGAAAAACTGAGGATTGTTGTTTTTGTTAAAAAGTAAACAAAAAAAACCTTTGTATGGGATCTTATTAACCCTTTCAAGTACAGCGTCGACTACAGTGGAGAGCTTATCATGTTATCAGGTTCCAAGTTACCATTATTGGTGCATGAAAAGGTTAAAAACGACCAGAATGGCCGAACACACTTAAAAGTGTATGTTTGGCATACCCGCATGCAAAACATTCTCTCGTGCCCGTTGTCATCTTGATGCACTCGCGGCCCACTTGGTGACATCATACATCGTTTCGTTTATCGGCAACCAATCAGCAGCAACCTGAGCACTTTCAAAGACTGTTTTGTCTTCCCCTCGCCTGAAACTCGCCGAACCATCAGATTATCTTCCAGCCTCGTGGAATGTGTTTACCGCAACCTGAATATGCACGTTTTCATCACGGTTTCTTGACGTCACAAAGAAGATAGATGCGATTTTTTTTAAAAAAAGCGCCATGTTATCGTTTAAACCGGCTTTTTTAGCACTGTTAAATACTTCCCACGCAAGTGGCTAAAATTATTCTTGTTATCAGATCCACGTAGCAGTTACAGTGCTATCGCTTTATTCAAACGGTATGCGGCTCAACTCGTAACAATACAAATCTCCCTCGCCCATTTGCCAACGTTTCGAAAACGTATCTTAGCAAAGCAGTATGCTGGAGACGCTTTTCTATTTCTGGAATGCCTCGATTGCTCAATGCGCACGTTTCAAGGCACGTGGCATTGAAAAGCAGGTGCATGAAAAGGTGGTTTTAGCCCAGCGGGGATTATTCAGGCAGAAGGTCTCATATTAAAGACACACTGTGGACAGTAAAATAAATGGGGGGTGGGGGATGGGGGGTGCTCAACTCCCAAACCATTTTTCACGCCACTAATGACCCTTACCAAGATTACGTGAATTGTTTTATTTTCCACTGTGAGACATCCATTTGGGATTGATTCATTTACTTTACTGTTTTAAGAAATAACTGCACATACAGTAAAGTGGATTAGACGCAAACCATGCATGGGAAATTAATACCTGTGGCAGCAGCAACATTTGCAGGACATTTATTGATTTAAAAGAATGTTTTTTGGTTTTTTATTATGATTATTTTTATTATTATTTATTATTATTATTATTATTTTAAATCAGCCCTATCAGACGAGCTGGCCTGCATATAAATGGTTGCTAAGCTACAGTTTGGTTTATTTATAGCAGTGCATCGGTGATATATATAACTTTATAGACGCCTTCAATCCTAATTACTGAGTTTCATCATTGATCGTGGAAAAGTGAATCGATGCTAAATGAAAGAGGTTGCGCTAGGAAGTGGTGACTTATTATTATCGATTCACTTAACACTCTCACATGCCATATTACCAATTGAGATGATCTCAAGGTGAGATTTTCTCCGTGTCAGATACCTGGGAAGAAAAGCTTCAACGTTGATCTCTTGCCTCGCGTTCCTATTCTGAAAAGTCATCCTCGATATCATTCCATTCAAATCTGACATCGACGTCTGAATGAGGGAAATGTTAACAAGTCTAAAAAGGCTTTCATATCAAGGTAAACCAAGGTTAGCATATTATCGTAAAACCGCCACGCTCCTGTCGGATATTTTTTCCCCAAAAGGAAATGTCATCAATGCGAGGATCCTCGTGGTTGTTTTCACACCTTTTTCATGCGACAATCGGCTATTCAAGGGGTCCACTTCACAAGATCTCACAGGTGGTTGCGTTAACTCACCCTCCGATTTCCAACAAGAAATATGAGAGCAACGTGGCAGCGTAAAGGGAGGAGGGTTTTTTTTTTGTTTGTTTGTTTTTTTCGTGATGAAAATATTAACAGCAGGACAGATGAAGGTTTGAATAGTTCAGTGGCATGGCTTCCAATTTACATTCTCGCACATAACTCATGAATAATCCCATTGAGGAATTGGTCTCACTTTGTAGACAAATGAGGTTGATAGTTTTACGTAACTGATTACTGAATTTTACCGTAACAAAGTCAGATGAAAAGTTTATTTTTATTGGTTGATTGTAGCCGAAACAAATCAAAGTGACTGGTTTTGCCACTACTTTTTTTTTTTTTAATGCTAGCTAACACTTTGACGATAGTAGTTAGCTGTCACAAACGCCCCCTTAGGGACGATATTCCCATTTTGAAAACGCGAACGGCTCTACTTTCTCAATTATGTGCACGTGACATGCCACCGTGCTGCTGAAAAGGTGACATGGCGCATTTGTGACGTCACTCCCCAAGACGTTACGCAGTAGGTGACCTCATCGCATCATGGTTCCCTATTGAAGCTTACAAGTCTTTTCCCTTCACTATTGCTGTGATCCGTAATGTACACTTGTTAGTTTTGCGCCTGTTGTTTGGTCAAAGGGTGTGTTTGACTTTCTTTTTGTTTACCGTACTTATTAGATTGGTTGCGTGTCAAAACTGAAGTGGCTCAATTTGGTGCGCTTCATGTTACTCACTTCCGCAGCCGAGTGGCAACTGTGCTGTCGTCTTCCCTGAAGGTAAACTTTCAACGGTTGGACATTTGGACAACTTTAATCAGACTTCTATATCAGATAGCAACTCGTTAGATGACTAGTTACTGAAAACAGCAGCCATAATTGAGTAACGCGTTACTTTCTCATGGTGAATCTGTTGCCGTGAACCTGTCACGACGACTTAACATCTTCCATTCAACTCACATTTTTTGTCGACTTCATTGTGGATGAGTGGAACAAGAAGGGCAGCCAAGAACTAAAAAGCAGCCAAGAAGGGCAGCCAAGAACTAAAAAGCAGCCCTTTGGAATGGCACCCAGACCTTTTTCGTCACCGACATATTTCAATCATGAGTGCTGGTCAGTCACGGGATCCTGGCCTGCCTCCCAGCCAACCCTGCTAATTAGTGCCCCTCATCTGAGCTAATTGGCCGAAAAAAAACGGGAATGGCCTCTTCACCCTGTCTGAGCATTGTGCCACCAAATAGCAGCGAGGAGGATTATGCGGCTTTATGAAGCATGGTGACACTCAGCCAGAAGCACTCCTCGGTTATTAATTTCTTTGTTGTAAGGGTCGCCTCCGTCTTGAAATTTTGCTCCTTCGCTTTGTGTGTTAGCAGAAATGAAGACAACACAAAATTGAAATACAAGTCTTGGAAATACTTTTAAGTACTCTCCAAAGCTTCATGCTCTGAAATCGGTTTAATGAGTATAAACATTTATTGACCAAAAGTGTACCGCAATTGAATCAGCGAGCAGGTCAAAATAACACCCTGATGCATTCACAGCATTGGGGCCTTTGAAATGGGATCAATAAAATCTATTTTTATACATTTATACATAAAGACAGTAATGCTTATTTGTGCCTGACACAGTCCAGCGAGGTCGTAATTATCCTAAATTAGATCTTCGTTGTGGTCGTAGCTTGCGGTGGTGTGCACGATCCATACTGAGGCGGCGAGTAATATTTCCGCTCTCATGTGGCTAAATGAGGTAGCCAAAATATTGTGTCTCACATTATCGTTCAGTGCAGTTCTGCACCAGTGCAATTTACAGCCAAAATAATAAAGGTGCTGTTTATTAAATACCGATTTATCGGGGTGCTGCAATTCATTAAATTGTCTTCGAGGTACAAGAGACAACTCAATCGCCTGTTTCCAAATGTGTAGCGGCATCATTATTAATTACTCCTACTGCCCCCGTTTTTTCCACCTTACAAAATGCTAAAATGTCACTCAATCAATTAGTTGAGACCTCAACCATGGTTGCCTGTATGTATTTTTTCACTTTTTTTTTTACATCACGTTGTCATCCTATTGTTGAAAAAAAAAGTTAAAAAAAGTAAAAAATAAATGAAAATTACATTCATGCAGTTCAGTGTCTCATTATAATCTGAAACGAAAGCAGAGAACAATTAACCAATTGAAGTTAATAAAGAAATTGAATCGATGTATGAACAAAAGTGGAGTCTCATTTTTTTGACTCGTGAAATGTACTTAGGTAGGTGAACACACTCGAGGCATTCGTTCCACACTGGGGAAAAAATATTGAATTATAATTCTGAAATGTACATTTTTTTTGGGGGGGGGGTTTGGATAACCTCAGGTCATCACCTTTATTCATTTGTACCATTTCGAGCTTTAAAAAAAAATCTGGAAAATGTTGGCGTTCTCCAACTTTTGAATTGTAGTGTGTCATTCTCAAAGGAGTAACAAATCCATATATTTAAACGGCGAGGGCAAAAGTTAAACGTCTTCAGAAAAATGAAACCAGAGGAAATTACAGACATCTGACAAAACTACGAAATAGAAAATTGAGGTATTTTGTTCCTTCCCACCACTGTCAATGTGCATGTAGCAGGGGGAAAAACAAAGATGAAAAAAAAAAAAAAGAAACGTTTGATCCGGCCAGGAGTGCAGACATTACGCCTGAGTCATATCAGACTGCAACTTGTGGTTTCAGTGGAGGGTGTCATGCCCCTTGGCATCTCTCCAAACAACCTCCAAGCTTTTTCAATTAGATGATTTGCACATGCGGAACACTCCGGTTATGAATGGGTGCATCATTCCAAGTCCCGCCTCTTCCGCTTTCGGCCGGACCAATCAGCGGCCGGGCTGAGCGTGGATGGGACGTCACGACAGTTGCAGTCGTGTCGCGATTGGAATGTTAGCGACTAACAAACGGAACAACTGAGCAGTCGGAAATTGGTCACTTTGGACTGAGGAATTCCGTCTTTTTATTGTTGGAGGAGGTGGGGTGGGGGGGCGAGGTTTCCGTGCCTCCGAGCTTTTCTAGGTCAGCCTTTTCCTGGCGAGCGGAGAACTTGAAGCGCCGCGGCTGAGCTCGGTTTTCTATCAGCGCATCTCGGTCGACGGCCGAAGCTTGTTGGAGATCAAAAAAAAAAAAAGAGCAATGCCAGGATTCGTCAGGTTATGCTGGTGCCGCTGAACCGCTCCTGTCGTGCAGCGTCATCTCTTCTGAAGTCTACCTTTCCGGGGAACCATGGAGTGAGTGATTCGGAGGGGGGGAAAAAAAAAAGAAGACCCAGCAACGAATCACGCCGAGGCGTTCGGGACGGAGCGCGGCGGCAACGCTGACTATGCTTCTCCGGTCTCGCTGAATGTATTAGATCGAGTTAAAGCAAGCAGTCAACCTCCCCGCGTAAGGGGACCCACTGGGACCCCTTGCTGCTGTTTACCCGGTAGGGAGCGACTTCCCAGACGGGCACTTTTCCTTTTTGAAAAGCTCTGAATGACAGTGAGGAGAAGCGCCGCGGAAGAGCTCGCGACCCGCCGGGTTCGGGCGGCACTCGTCTTTTTAGGTGCAGCCGAGACCCTTCGACATGCTGGAACTCTTCCGACGCGAGAGAAAGGGAGCGGACTTTTAAAATCGCCCACATGCGCTGGATCAATCGCTGGATTTGGGAACCGAATTCGCAGAAGGGGGGTTGGGGATCCTTGGAGGAGGCAGCCGGAGGATGGAGCCGTGTAAGCGGGATTGCTGAGAGCCTAACTTGTGGCCACTTTGCCGTTCTTGTTCCGAAGCAAGTCGCATCTGTTCCCCCGGACACATGCAGGCCAAAAAACGTTACCTGATCCTGCTTTCGGCCGGTGCTTGCCTGGCCCTTCTCTACCTCGGAGCGGTTCCGCTTCAAACGGCGAGCAGGCACCGGCATGAAAGCAGACGCCACGGGTACCGACCCGATCACCCGTGGCCTCACTTCTCGGACCGTTTACACCCATTCGCGCCCTGGGATCAGACTGAAACCGAGGAGTATAACGTGCACGCATCGGTGAGGCATGCCCGGGACGTGAACACGAGTGTTTACAAAGGCAAACGCTGCCGGATGGAGTCATGCTTTGACTTTTCTCGGTGTAAAAAGAATGCATTCAAAGTTTATGTTTACCCGCAGCAGAAGGGGGAGAAGATCTCAGAGAGTTATCAGAACATTTTGTCCACTATTGAAGGCTCCAGGTTTTACACTTCGGACCCGGGTCAGGCGTGTTTGTTCGTGCTGAGTTTGGACACGCTTGACCGGGACCAACTGTCTCCGCAGTACGTCCACAATCTGAAGACCAAGATCCAGAACTTGCCTCTGTGGAACAATGGCAGGAACCATCTTATATTTAACTTATATTCCGGGACGTGGCCGGACTACACGGAAGACTTGGGCTTCGACGTCGGCCAAGCGATGCTGGCAAAGGCCAGTATCAGCACCGAGAACTTCAGACCCAACTTTGACGTTTCCATTCCTCTTTACCCCAAGGAGCACCCGAGGACCGGCGGCGAGAGGGGCTTCCTCAAATATAACTCCATCCCACCTTTTCGAAAGTACATGCTCGTCTTCAAGGGGAAGCGCTACCTGACCGGTATCGGTTCGGACACCAGGAATGCCTTATATCATGTGCACAATGCGGAGGATGTGGTGCTGCTCACCACCTGCAAGCACGGCAAAGACTGGCAGAAGCACAAGGACGCGCGCTGTGACAAGGACAACGCAGAGTATGACAGGTAAACCGAGAGTTGTCACTTCATATTTACGGTGGCTCGTTTTGCTCGTAGTTTGCAGTGTCAGACCCCCTTCTGGTTC